AAAGTTGTCTTAGGTACAGGGAGGGCATGGTTTCTAAATCTGAAGTATTATGTGCCAAAATGGAAGGTGGTGGCAGATGCATCACCACTGTACCAGAGAGCAGCTGAGGGAAGTTAGTTCTGCTGTCATCAATTAGGAGTTTTTCTCCTCTGAAGTTCTTTCCCTTTTCAAATGAATTCCACATCGATCTCCTACTCATGGAGTAGGAGTTACATTGGGTTATATTGCTCCTTTCCATTACAGCATCAATACCTTAACTCAGATGTTAACCCAGAACTTGTCTTTTTGCCCCAGTATGACAGCAGAGAAAGTGCTGCTGATCTAATACAGCAACAAAAAAAGATTTGTAGAGACTCAAAATAGGGGAAAACATGATAGACGTGATGTTCACCAGTTTGTTGCACTGCAGTTTTTATATTAATCAGTGGCAGTCTGTTTTGTGTAAACTCATGTAGGCTATCAAGTCTAAAATTTCGTGACTGATCAGTACTGTGCATCCTGATTATTTTTAAATTGTATATTTCTAGTCATATTTTTTTAACTTGGAGTGACAGAATGGAAGTTTATTTTGCTGAAGGTATTTTTAAGATAAAGGTTCGTATTATCTTTTAATATTAATTAGTTCAATATGCATTTGTGTCTCATTTGAAAATACTGCATTTGATTTTATACAAAATACTGAATAGTGAGAACTGTAAACACGAATTCTGTCAAAATAAAAATAATCACACGTTTGGTTTCTGTTTTATTTCCAGCATTCTAAAAAAAATCATCACAAAACCATTGTGTCTGTACTGGACTGACTCATATGTGCACTGAAAAATAATACAACACTCTCAGTTACCTGAAAACCTTTAATTAAAGCACAGATTCTTAAAACACATACTTTTTAAATTTAAAAAAATAGACAATCTCTGGCTCTGCATTTCAGGGCACTCACCTTGGAAAACAGGAGTTGTATTTTTAATTGTTGGGATACTGTTACATAGTAAAAAAAGCATGGTAAGATGGAACAATGGGGTTCCTGTTATTTTTTCCTTCTCCTATGATCATATAGTACTAATTACTGGAAACAAGCTTTATCTTAATACTGTTTGCTTTGATACCTACCAGGAAAGTGATGGTTTCTCAAAAGTAAAAACTAAATTTTCAGGAACACTCCTTATTTTTGTGTTAAGTGTTTGTGGGGGTGTAGTTCAGTCTTAAAAAAAAAACCAAACAAACACCAAATACAACAGCAAAAAAAATATTGACCAACTAATTGCAATACTTCTGAACACTCTTACAGGCATTAGAAAATGCAGAATTTGTGCTCACCAAAGCTTCCTGTTTGCCAAGCAAGGAAGCTTTCACTTGCCCAAAAATAACGTTTTTATGGTTGGAAAGTGTGTTCTTCTGTTTCAAGGTGATCCATTCTAAACTTGGATGAGTTCCTGACAAACCAGTTGCCTGATGAAGAGTGAGTGATGGGAAAACACCAGCTCATGCCTGTGATGCCCACAGGAAAACACAGCTAAGCCCTCCCATATCCTCAGCAATTTAAGGTGTCCTTAAGATGCACTGGGCAGGGGAGGGCAGAGGACTAAAAGAATCCCACAGACAAAAACTGGACCATGGCCCAGGTCAAATCCAGTGATGCCTTAAGATCTTTTTGGGTTTTTTTTATTTTTTCTAATTTTTATAAACTTTATAAGTAGTTATACAGATTTTAGAAGCAGCAGCAGCCCTCATTCACTTACCTTTAGCATAGAAACTACACACATTCCACTACCCCATCACCCCATTCCATGCTTCCATATCCTTATCCCCTGAATTCCAGTAGAAAATATTTAGTCTCTCTTTAAGAGAGACTTTAAACTTTTGTTGTACCTTTTCCTGAACCGCAAAAGTACAGTGAACAACTGGGTAAATATATGCCCCCTGTACCCCGAAGAAGATGAAGATTGATGAAGGAGTGGTCTTAGAGACCCTCACCTCAATTCCCAAGGGGTGTGACTGAGGGTGGTCCAGGGCAAAAGCCAGTGGGTGGACGAAACCTGGGATTGTACAAGCAATATTATAAACTGTACCATCTGTACAGAGGGGGAGCGTATGTCTTGTAATCTCTATGCCTCAGAGGCACAAATTAAAACCCTTATCTCACCTCCAAAACTAATTGCCTCGGAGTTTTTTTCTCCCTTCATTTTCTTTAGGCAATACAGTGCCAGGTCAGTTAATGCACTGCAAGAACGATCTGTTGGAGTAGTTCTGGACACCTCTTTGGCTTTATTATTTATTATTATTTAGCCTCCTTTGCATTACAGTTTCTACAATGCCTATCAAGAGTAGGCAAAAACATGCTCTGGCACAAAGGATGCACTGTTTAGACACATTCAAGTCTGGTGTTGGGAACTGCATGCTTTAGCTTACTAAGAGTTTGTTGAGGAAGAGATGTTTGCTTTTTTCTTTCTCATACTTCTGTTCTGGGGTTTTGTTTCACATGGATGTGACTGAACAATAATCCCCTAAAATGGAATAAAGTCAAGAGGAGACAGACAAGGGTAATGTGCTTGTGAAGCTCAGGGAGTGATGCAGGATGTGATGGACCACAGCAGTTGCAAAGATGATTTTATCTCAGTACAGAGGGGACCAGAGGGTGTCCTTTGTAGTAGAAAAAGGGCTGTCAACAGTTGAGTGGATCAACCAGGCGTACAGCTCCAGGAGTTCTTTAGAGAGAGGGAAGACCAGACCAGCACGGGGAGAATGAATACATGGAATATAAGACCCAGACAACTGCCAAAAGAATTTCAATAGGTTTGAACTGACATCAACCCTCCCATTCCTTCTCAACACCTGGGGACACATGGTATGGTGACAGTGAGGATACATATCACAGGAACCAGTAATGGGAATCACATTGGCATTGGGGTTAAACTCTGTACTGCAACTGCTGTGTTAAGTGTAACTTATGTCAGGGTGTGTCTTCAGTATAGTTCATGTTACTGTAAACCAGAAATACCATGTGACATGAACTGTCTTCAATTTGTTATTAAACATGACACCCTCCATCCATGGGAGAAATCTCCAAGAACCTTGTCAAGTGCTGGACTGTGACAAAGTGGTTGGAGGAAAGCACCTTGGAAGTCTGTCCTTTAAACATGCCTGGTCCACATCCTCCCTGTTAAACTCTGTCCCAGTCCACAAAGCTCTGGAAACCAGCACACAATCCACAAGTAACAGAAACACAACCAAAGCACTAACGAGTACAGAATTCCTGGATTCTCATATGTCAACTTATTATTCTCTTCTGGCAAGAATTAAAAACACAAAAACCAAACCTGTACCTTGCTAGTATTTTTACCTTTCGGCAAAGTTATCCTGCTAATTCAGCTACAATATGCAAAATTCAGTATCTTTCATTCAAATGGTAACTACTGTACAAATACAGACAGAGGAACTACTTCTGCTAAAAGCAGACAAGTCCTATTAACTAGCTGTAAAGCATTGCAGAGACAACAAACAGAACACAGATTGTGAATATTCACACCACTGAGCCTAAACAGGAAAAGCAAAAACTTTTTTTCAATTTATTAAGGGCTAGTTTGTCTCAAACATAACAAACACTGTCCTTAAACATGATACAGCATCTAAAGCTGCTCTGGAGACACAGCCATCTCTCTGCAACAGTCATTGGATCACATCTTCAGAAGGCATTTGTTTGCAGACAAATAAAATTCTGCTGAAGATATAATAATGTATTTCAAATTAAATTCTAAATAGCAATCAAAGTGTAAGTCACTTTGATTAACACAAAGTGTTACTTCTTCCAAAGACTAAAGGCTCCCCCTTCAAGCACAAACTCTTCTTGTTCAGTGTGTTACTGAAAAAGAAAAAGCTCTAATTTCATGCCTGTTATTCAGTGATTGAAATGTACTTTTTGTGCAAAGTAACCACGTTTCACATTCAGTTGTTGATTCAATGACAATGAGTCAATGTTGCATTACTTTCAAGACTACACATATATATGTGTGTGTATATACATACAGTTATTTTCTTATGTGAGTGTGTATGTGCCAGTGACAGCTCTGAAAGAAAGAAAAAATTACTCAAAAATTGTGCAAGAGTAATTTTAATTACATAAATGTACTAGCTCTGGATTTTGGGTTTGGGCCCAAAGGATGCTCATACCCTAAGGCCTGTTTTCATAAAAACAGGTTTAACCAGAGCTGAAAGCTTATTTCCCATGAGCTCCAATTGCCCAATATGCCTATTTATGAACTCAGGTCTTTATACTTCTGAGTATTTTTCTTCACTCTTTGATACTCTTAAGTACAGACATTCCTCTTTCCTCTAAAGGCACTTTCATATTAATATATTCTTGCCAATCCTAAACCACGGTACCACATTTGATTCACATCAAAACTATCACATATAAATGACAGCCCTGGAGAGAGGGGAATTCCTCTCTTTGCAAACTTGATTAATCTCAAACTGGAAGCTGAAATGCTTTAGTTCCTCCTGAGCCACTCACTGTATTAATCCAAAGAGTACCTCGTAGTAGTGCATTGAAGAGTAATGTGACTCAGATCTGCAACACAGTCTCAAGGTGCTTGTGTATATATTTACTAGTGCTTGTGCATTAGTATTTATTATTTATTTAGTATTTATTATTATTATTTACGCCTGCTCCCAATTGCTTTACAGGAAGGAGTAAAGCTAAACCAGGAGTGGCTGGTTGCAGCAGATACGTGCTTAACAGAGACAGCTATTTTGGTACCTTAAATGTGACAGATGGCTGAGATTTACTGCTCTCTTGTCACAGAAGAATGGTATCACTGTCACCACTTACAATTAATAATTCCTTCTCTACACTTGGATATACCATCAACTATAGACGCTCTGAGGCCACAGTCAAGTCAGACAGATTGAAAAATAAAATTGTCACATGTCACTTCTCTAAGAAACTTCGTGTTTAAGCAGTGATCAACTACACTAACACTCATTCTCACGAAGTTTGGGGGTTTAGTTTTGGTTGGTTTGTTCTGTTTTTTAATTAAACAGACTTGTAACAAGTATTTTTTTTTGTAACCAGGTGTTTTTTTAACACTCTGCTGAACCAAAAGTTGATTACACAGATACACTTTGACAAGTCCTTTAAAGCATTCCTTAAAGAACCTATTTGTCATTCTGTTTGGAAAAGCAGATCAAAGTTGGAGGAACAAACAGTAACTTTGCAGCAGCAGGAAACAGCCTGAAATATAAAACAACTCTTTCAGCCTTCACAGAGAACAGTCAGAACTGAACTAGATTACACCAGATTCAGCCCAGTAGCATAGCAAAGTTTCAAATTTTTGGTAGAAAAAGAGAGGGTTACTGTTAAATATTTCACTGCTTTCCTTAGCAAAAAGAGGTATTGGGAGAAGATGAGGCTACACCTCCAACACAGGATGGAAAATAGAAGCAAGCCTTGCAAAGAAGCTCTCCATGTCTATACATACACTCACTCCTGCAAGTAAAAGTGTAAATAAAAATTCAGAGACATTTTCCTGTCCAATGGGAAAAGCGGAACAGGGAGGGAAGAACAAGCTAAAATATTCTATGACCCCCACAGACAAAATCACTTCTATTCCACAATCATTAAATTGCCATTTTTGGCAGAAACACACACTGCCTGGGAAAAGGGCAGCAGCAGTTAAAATTTAAACTGCACTGATTTCATGTAGCAACTTTTCCTACAAGGTGAAGGAGTCATGTAAATTATTTCATCCAGTTCAATTACTCAAATAGCAGCAGCATGGATTCCTCTTACACCAGCACCTGGTTTGCTTTTGCACACTCTTTCTATTACAAGTTGTCAGAGTACCTCTCTGCTACTAAAATGAACTCCTTGTGGAACATGAAATCTCATGTTATAGCAAATTGTCATGTAAGTAATTTCACAAATGCAAGAAAAAAAATCCTTTGGGCTGAACTACTCTGCAGACCCTCTCTTTGGAGCATAAAGAAAAGAGTGTAGTCTTTCTAGGATGATTTTCTCCTGCTTGTGCAAAGCTTTATCAGTGAGATAAGTCTTTTAAGTTGCTGAGTACTCCTACAGCTTACTCCAGAGCAAAACATTTTTTTCCTTCTAAGTCTCATCCACTATTTGCTTTCTAAGTAGACTGCTTAGAAGTGAGGTAGAGAACTGGAAAAAATGAAAGGTTTGTATTAATCTGCTTTTCCAGTAAATTGAAAGAATGAGTTCAAGGCATTTGAAGACTCCTGTGAGCTACTTCCAAAACGTCCAGTGTGGTCATCCACTCCTTTTTTTTCTGTCATTGCTTCTGGCAATATTTCCTTGTTTCTCTCAGATCTCCCAGAATGGTTCTGAGCATCCCCTTGGACAGGAAACAAGTGAGGCTCAGGTGAGGAAGTGTGTTAAAGATGCAATGAAGGAACATCCCATTCGTCCCCAATGTCACAAACTTCTTGGTAAGGCAGGAAACATTTTAGTTTGTAGTTGTTTCTGCTGGAATCAAAAGCTTCCTTAACAATTTAGTTCTGTCTTTAGCTCAAAATTCTTACTGTTCTTAAATTTAAACATCTTCAAAGTAGTTGCAGATTATATCTTGTTACTGAAGTGGGACTTATAGTCAACAAAAAGCATCTGTGTGCCTTAATTTTACAGCTCACTTTCCTTTAGAGAGATCTAAAGACTGCTGTTTGAGGTTTGGGGTTGGTGGGGGTTTTTTTGATTGGGTTTTTGGTTGGTTGGCTGGGGGTTTTTTGTTGGGAGGGATGGTAGTTGGTGGGGTTTTTTTGTTTGTTTCTTTATTTTGTTCCAGACAACATCCAAATAGCAAAACCTTCATTCTACCACTCTGACTTTTTAAAATAATACCTCAACCCCAAACCAATGAGCACTTTCCTTTATTTGCCAAGCTAAGAAGAACTGCAGCTCGTGACTGTCTGAAATATACACTTCACTCAAAAAAATCAGCTTTCAAATGTACAGTGAAAGAGTCTCAATTGTACAGTTCGCATTTCACCATGGTGGCATGGAGAACTTGATAGAATCTCTATATATACACATTTTGTAAAAACACTGTTCCCTTTAACTTCATTTGAAGCCTGGTAGTGAAGTCCTGTGAGCCTTCCCACAGCTCTCACAAAGGAGACACTGGGACCCGCAACAGGATCCCAGTCCCCCCATATTTCTAGGACCCACTTCTATTAGCAGACAGCTGCAATCATTTCACACCGAACACCTAAACAACTTTCCCACAAGGAAACAGGCTTCCTTTATCCCCACCCAGCATAAAACTGGTCTCTTCACAGCTACTCCAAAGCTACTTTGGGAGGCCACCATTCCTGGTGGTTCTTCAAGCCAAAGCTGGAAAATCCTCGGGATCATCAGGATTTGGAGCCACAAGTTGCACCTGTAAAGTAAGAAAAGAAGCTTTATAAAAATAAACGCGTTTCAAAAAGCACCTGACAGCCATGGAGATGTATTTTACCCTTAAAAGGGTTCATTCTTCCATTCAAGTTCAATGCTGCTGCTACTAAATCCCACTTCCAGTCAAGTTGTATCCATCACTATCACAGAAATCCTGAACATTTATCTCAGAAGTTACAACTACTGTAATTTCTGCAGTGTGAATGGATTTATAATGCTGATCCACTGCCTGGAGAGGGTCAGAAGATCATAAGATTTGCAGCACTGAATGAACAAAGAAAGTAAAGCCCTCTCAAGAGAAATACTGTGTGGTTTTATAAGCAGCATTGCTATATTTTTACATTCTAAAACTACTGCACAGATTGGGTTGTAGCTTTAAACACTATGCTCTGTTTAGTATAAAGAGCCTTTTTTATTCAGATGAAACAAATGCATCAACACTTCCATATTATTCTAAAACTTCCCAGCCTTAAAGCATTTTAATCACAGTAAACTGAGACCTTCTGTTAGTGTGAAGAATAGAGATGTCATTTTCCAGTGTGCAAATGTTTTTTTTTTTAAAGAAAAAGTTAAGTAGAAGGTTTTTTTAATGGCTATATTGAACTCATCATTCTGTAGGATCACTGATTACTGAGAGATCAGAAAATCTAAGTATCATTACTATACTATACTGAAATTTTTCCCAAGAGATACAAGCCTTTAGTAATTTTAATTACTTTCCAATTTATGTCAAAACTCATTGCAGAAACAAATCTTCACTGCATTCTTTCCTCTAGTCACCATTACAGCACCCAGTAACTAGACCTTTTGAAATACATGCATTAAGAGCTGTGAGCATAAACCAGTATTTGAAGTAACATGATATGGGCCAGGAACTCAAAATAAGCAGGCCAACATACTATGAGGTAGGAATAGGAAACAAGTCTGTCACTGTGGAAATCAATAATTCTACACAAAAGGCAGTGGAACAAACACACAAACAACCAACAACCCGAAAACAAACAAACAAAAAAAACCAAACACAAAAAAACCCAAACCAAACAAAAAAAAAAAAACCCACAAGCAAAACAACCAAAAAACCGCATATAAACTCATAAAAAGCATTACCACTGCTTTTGATTGAGGTCTGATCTCTCCAACTCTTCCACCACGACCACCTCGTGCCCCTCTTGATCCACAGCCAGGGCGAGGAAGGCTCCCAAAATTAATATCCAGCTGAGATGTGATGTCATTCACCGGCTTTCGAAAGACAGGAGAATCATATTCAAAGGCTTCTTTCTGCAACTAAAAAGAACATCTGGTTAAAGCCACAGTTTCCATGGACAAGCTTCTCCCCTCCCCAGCACAAACACACGCACTTGTGTTACAGACTAAGTAGCAAATGGATCAAGGGGACACCTGGAATAGAAGGCATAGGATTTTAACAGAGATGAGGCAATTGCAGCTTCCCAGATGCCTGGGAGAATTCTTTGTTGGCTCAGAGATTCCTGGCAACAAAATCTTCTGTACCAGCTCTGTAATACTGAAGAAGTTTTTCAGAAATATCATCTAGGAGGTTTTCAAAGGCACTAGGAATCAGACCTAAGCTACTTACTCCTACAGTTACCTGTAGTAATGGACAAAGGCTACATCATAAAGCCATCTAATTGGTGTATTTGTCTGCATGTCTTCAGCTATGAGACTGCTGTTGTTCTAACTCTGGGTGTTCCTAACAGCCAGTGGATGTCAGACTATCAGACTATTGCCCATCACAGGTTCAATGTGCCCATAGTAATGATAATGTATATGTTAACTCATCCCATACAATAATGAATCACTTATTTAATGTCTGATTAAGGGATTTGACTTGCCCATGTTACACAGTTCCTGTACCTCCTGTTCCATGCTCATTTTGACAAGGTCTCTTGGCACTGCAAGAACTGCCAGTAACGTTATGGGCAAGAAGAACAGAAACCTGTATGCACTCCTCACACACCTGCATTCTCTCTTCAGAGTTTGGGAGAGTTATTCTCCCCACTCCTACCACCACCTCCCTCAGAGAAGGAACAGGGGATAATGGCAACTCTGACCAGCAAAGTCCCACTAAAGAGAGCACAAGGCCACTTCAGGACCAGTGTCTGCCCCAGAAGTGCTCAATCATCAGAAGGGATTAAGCCTTAAAAAATTGCAAGGTCTGATGTTAATATTGTAACTAGACACAAGATAATATGTATCCATAAATGCATGCAAGGATCAAAATTCACTTTTTTGACTTCCCCCTAAGACCTGAAATGTAAGTAAGCAAGGGTCTGAAAGAAGCCTGCCCTCTCTCTCCAGACTTAGACTTTATCCCTGAAATTTCAATCTCAGGGACATCATGAAATAAAATACAGGGGAAGGGGGCAGAGTGGGTAAGCACATCACAGAAGAACAATCTCTCCAGAGTTAGTTGTTAGAAGCAGGACCCTAAAACTGAAAAAAAAAAAAAAAAGTTAAAATTCATATATTCCAAGGGCACAGTGAGAGCTGGGATCCAGCACAGATGAAAAATAGACCATTTAGCATCCAGACTGACAGATGCCAAAACCTGAGTTTAATATATATACATGCAAGTGTATACTGGCAGGATTCAGAGTTAGGAAGAGAAGTTTTTAGTAAACCAAGTTTCTCTAGCAGCATTACCAGACATCTACACAGGTGGCAGCAGCAAGGACACATTTTATATGGATAAGACTGAGCAATAAGGTAAAACAACTCGATACATTATGTATTTGCATACGAAATAGGTGTGATAACCTGAGAGGGGGAAAACAAAATGAACAGACAGTAAGTTTAAAGCAAGTTTCGGGCCACATGTCATTAAAGTAATAAAGCTTAGATACTGTTCTCTTGTCTGTTCAGATTATACTAAAACTAATAAAAAAGAATAGAGACAGTTTCCTAATCCTGGGCATAAAGGACAGTTTACAGAATTCCTGAGGCAATGCTTACATCATGGCTATATTTTGACTTGTGAATCACCACTGCTTTGGAAGGAACAGTGGATTCTGGCTTCCGGATGTTGAATTCAGGCTTTGGTCGATTCTGTTGCTGAAGACTTTTCCACTCATCTAATGTCATTTCTTGAACTACTTCTTCCACTGGCTCTGCTTCAGCAGCTCTAAAGGTTTATAGTTGTAAAGTAAAAACCATTAGCTTGCAACATGCCAGGATGAACAAGAACACTAAGCTCTAAAGTAAGGATACCAAACAAAATATTTGGAATATTTCTCACCAAACTGTTGTCCTTAAATTCACTTGCTCGCCACAGTAACTTTGTGGGAGAGTTTTACATTAATGTAAGTTGGAGTATTGTTCAAAGTCAGTCATATGAACAAACGCCATCTGCAGCCACCTCTATTGCTGCTCATCCAGTAAGTTCAAGCACGTAAGATTCTAGACAAAAAACACTCTGCCTTTTGATCTCTCATACTCTTAACCCTACAGTTTAATAGTGGATCTATCCCTAGCAAATACAGCCACAGTAAAATAAGCACCTAGAGCAGTTTTAAAACACCCTAATTGCACCGTTTCATTTTCCTGGAATGAGGTGGATTCACGTCTCAGTGTAGTTTTCAGTCATCAAAAAGATATGATTATCACACCCTGGGATCTTCTAGGTAATTATTAAGATTTTCTTTGTTAATTTCACAAGATGCTTCTTTAATTTTTTTTTTGTCAGATATAGTAACACACAAGGAGCCATTATTTATCACCCAGAAAAACCAGATTAATCCTAGTCAAGTTTTAATTTGTCACAAAGTGCAATGATGATGATATATTCGAGGAAAACATATTGTATATTTTTGAACTATAAAGACGGAAGGTTTTGTCTGTAAGATACATAAATAAGACAGGATACACAAGACAAAATTAAAGATTCTTCTCCACTCATCACTGCTTTACTACTCTGATGCTGACCACAACTGGCTTGTCCTGGACCAGCAGCTCTTGGAGCACTACAGGTACATTTTTTAATAATACCTAGAGAAAGCTGTCCCCTGCCAAGCAGCACCACACACAGGGAGCACAAACCACTTCATCCCTGTAACTCTCTGCTGCCTAAACAAGTCAAATATCATGAACTACAGGAAAATCCACACTGATTATTCCCAGACACTCAAGAAACCATTTCTCCCTTCTCCCACAAAACCGCTATTGCTATAGCAGTTGAAGCAGTTGAAATTGAGTATTTCCCTTACGCTGATTTTTCTGGAAAACCCTTTCCTTAGGTCCCATATGGAGGAGAACTATGGATTTGGTTTTCCTCAGTCAGTCGCAGTTCCAAGTCTTCTGCCAAATGCTGGTGATTTTCCCAATGTAAATATACAGTTTATTAGACGTACATTAGAAATTTTTATCATGGAGAGAAGTGGAGTCAAATGACAGTCAGTAAACTGTGCATTTTGGTTTTTGAAGTTATAAGAGCAGCCCATCAGACTCCACAAGTTTGTTTGGAGCGTTCTGTACATTATAGAACTACCTTATACAGGAACAGGGCTGGTCCCTCTTCCTACTTGATCTTGAAGCAAACCATTCTATTTCTTGCCAGTCAAAATCAGACAGTATTTTTCTGAGACGCCCAGCATGTGACAGTTGGAAGCAGAACTGAACAGTAAGGCAGCCCTTCATTTTGATTTTAGGATGAACACAGTTTTAAATTCACTTGACAGAAGAACAACAAACATACAAGTCCTGCACTATGTGCCTCCCCCTCTGACACACCCTCACGCCCTGTTATTTTGAAAATTCCAGCTGTATCAACCAAAAATTAAAGGTTAAAAGTCTGGTAAGCAGTCTGTAGTTCCACGCTGATTAAGATCTGAAACTATACTAGACAGATTGAGTTAAATAAAAAAGATACTGGTGAAAGAAGCAGCTACTTCTGGAAAAACACAAACGGATACTGTTCCACGTGTAACAGCATTAAGAACAAATTGCACCCCAAACATTTCAATTTGTTGTCTTCAAGAGTAAGAGGCCAAATAATTTTGGCTCAGTTACCTGAAGTTTCAGTTTTGGGAGCAAGTGCTAGAAAAACAATATTAGTGGTAAACACCCAGAGGAATTAAAAAAGAGAAAGCAAACCAATAAAAGGGGTCTCTATTAAACTGGTTTAATTTCTTCTAAAGTCACTACCTCAGAATGGAATCAGTAAATTGCACATCTGAACTTTAAGAAGTCCTCTCCCATTAAGTTTTCAACACATTAGAGAGACAATGTCTTAAGGCATGAGAAGCCTTTAAAGGTGTGGTGAGGAAACATATAACACTAAAAAAAAAGGGAGATTTTGCATATCCATGATAGCAAGGCAAGACACTCAGGTGAAAAAAAACCCAACAAACCATAACACAGCAGCTTCTCTTTTTTAAGTATTAGAAAGACCATCAAGGGACATTGAAAGCTCTAGGACATTAAAATCAACCAGATAGGCATGAGAAGTGACAGCTACAGCTAGTCATGCCTTGGGTCAGAAAGCCCCCTTTCAGGTTTAAATTGCTATGACCACAAGATAACAGGAGAACATTTCACTATACAGCAACTTGACCTCTCAAAGAGCAAACAAAGGCATTGCTTTGAAAAGTACACGTCTATCAAAAGCAACCATTGCCAGTTCTAAAGGAAATACTTGTGGATCTACAGTGCAATATTTGTTTTTTCAACTGCATAGCACGGTTTGATTTTTACTCCAAAGGATGGTTTTAACTGCTAGATTATTAGCAGTTAAAATTTGGGTTAGGATGTCAAGACTCCCAAGGGAAAACACCTCCCATGAGTGAGGCACAGCAACAGAAACCTGCATATCACATTTTGGACAGAGACCCAATTGCAGTAGCTTATTTTGGGCACCAAGCCTGCATGGGAGTGCACTCTGTGCATTACTTTCTATCTTCTAATCTTACACATTTCTAGTAACTGCTCGGTGTGCATTTTGATTAATCAAATTAATAAGCTCCTTGGCACATGAGCAATCATGCTCACAAAATACTGCCAGACAACTAAATGCAACCTCTGGACATAAGCAAACCCAATTCACAATGAAAGTCCCACCAAATCACTAAACAAGAGCCTTCAGTAACAGATCCTACTGCTTCAATGTTTTCAGTAGATGCCCATAACCCTCTCGCTGTGCCTTGATTACTAGGCATACAACAAACAAAACACCTTTTCTTTTTAACAGAAGAAATGCAAATAGAAAGCAATGGCATTCAGCTCAGCTATTATTTTCATATCATTAAAAATGATCATAGCAAGTCTTTATAATCATAGCAAGTCTTTGTCAGATCAGCTTTTGTATTATTCAGCTGCACAAAGCAAATCCTTAGCCAGCTTTTATTAAGAAGTCAATGACATGAATCTTTCCCAACAAACAGCACTTACAGGAGCATTACCACCAGCTGTAGCAAAATTCAAAGTTAAACAAGGTAAGATCAAACAACAACTGTACAAGTTTACCACAGAAGAAAAACACTGAACCACATATTTATGAATCTCTGTCCTGATGTGCGAATAGCTTTATGTCACCACTGAACAAAAAACCAACCAAACAACAACATCCAACAAAACCAACAACAACAACCAAACAAAGAAAAACAAAAAGAGATAAATAGCTCAAAAAGCTTGAAGATAAATTTACTAACTCTGCAAATACCCTTTAGGAACAGGAATTGATTAGCCTGTATGTTGCACTGAATAAAAAGAAAAGTCCATTAATTTGAATTAGTCAACACAAGCGTGTCACATTGCTCTGACTGTGAAGACAAGTTCAACAGAAAGCAGATGTGAGGGAAGCTTATCCTTGTATTTTCTTACACTGTTAAGGTTAGGTTTTGCTTTTGCAGCAAACCAAACCCCAGCTATTAGCATGCAATTTGGGATGATACAAATAGAGACAGATATTGTTAATATACTCAATAAAATTTGAGGATATGGGAAAAAACCAACTCGCTTCATATTACAGATGTATTAAAGCAACTCTTGTCCTGCAATACTTTGTAAACAGAAGCTCAGGAATGGCAACACCGACACAGTCCTCAGGGCAAGACCTCCTAAATTAGAGAAGCTTACAGACTCTTTCCAGAGTTGCATTGAAGTTAGCCAGTACCACACCAGAGAGACTCACAGCATCTTCGCAGGAAGGTTATTCCTAATTTCCAGGATTACATTTTTTTACAGTTAAATTTTAAATGGAAACAGTTATAACAGGAAAGAGAATGAGAGAAGAAGCAAACTCAAGCCTTCCATCTCTTTCTCAATAAAAGCACACCACTGCAACAAAACAGCAGAAGAGAAAGGGTTTCCTTGCAGTCACTGCATTATAGAGTCAAAATGAGAAAGATCCCAGCAGCAGCCTAAGCAAACACACAATCCTATATAATGTTGAGGCTGCAAAAGCAAAAGCAGAAGGCAGCAGCTCTGGAGAGCAGGGGCAACCTAAGCATATGAGACTTTTAAATACATCCTGAAGCATTAAACCAGCTTTTGCTTTTAAATATTAAAAGAACAACAAAAAAAAATAAAATCTCATATGTTAAGACATATGCCTACAACCATCCCTAATGACCTAGGCACTGTTCCCACATTGCCTCCTATCTTAAAATACATAAAGTCGCTGAGCTGACACCCCCCCAAAAGGTAAGTGCAATGAGATAAATGTAACTCATGTTTTGTATATATATTTGTAAGCCTTCAGGACAAGACTTACTGCACTGAAAAGAGTACAACTGCAGAATTTTCTACTTGTAGTTTACTCGCTTTTTTTTGGATCTTACAGATTTCAGTGGACTATTCCTAAATGCAGCTTTTTTAAAAAAAAAATAAGCAGGAGTAAAATCTCCAGAAAGGCTCACAGCCTGACTGAATACTTAGGGATTTCTAAGAGAGGTAAAAGAAATCTAGACAACTGGCAGATTCTGAGAGGGGCCTTCTCCAGTGCATACACTTCTCATGCCTTCAGCTCTACAAGGAACTGCTACTGGGACATGTCTCCAAAGAGCTTGAGTCGAGTTAGAAACAAATACAAGTGTGAAACAACTAAAGGTACCAGCAGTTGACAAAATAAAAATAAAAAAAGCTGAATAATTTCTCATATTTAACTAATACAGTGCATTTTTGACAATGTATCTGCACTATCCATCTGATTTAAGTTCATCTAGTAACAGTTTTTTGGAAATTCAGTCATAAGTCACTCAGTTTCAGAGGTAGATTTCCCCATGTGTACACATCTCTAGCTATATATTAAAAGCTACTTTAAAATTAAAAGAATCAAGGCTATATCAACTGAACTTCTTGGGGGGTTAAACAACCTGAACATATAACACAGGTTTTGTATTCCAGTCAGCTTTATAATTAAGAAATAAACCCACGTCACTAATAACTGGAGCTGCACCATTAGGCAAAAAAGGCCATCTTTCACCTGTCAAGAATGCAATTTAATTATTTGTTAAGTCTCTTATTTGGCCAAGATTGTCCAGTTACTTTTTCTTAAGCCAGTGTTTATCTGCTGTGAAGCAAATTCTTTCCAGACACTGGACAGAATGAAAGCCAGAAGACAAGGGGCAGATTTCTCAATTTCCCTACTTCTAAGGCTCACTGCATTTCCAGAAAGTTTTTACAAGTTCTGCATAGCCCTTCATGAATAGATGACAACCGCAGCATATTAGTGACTGATTACTACAGACTATCGTAGTGCATTTTAAATGTACAAGCACCTTGAATACCTTTTCTCAGAGAACTTCAAAAAGCACACTAGTTTTCACTAGTTAGCCAAGTTAAAAAGGTAAAAGATAATATGTAGCTCCTCCTGAAATGATTATCATCAAATCTTAGGAAGATAAGCATTGTGGTGCAATTAAATGCAACCTCCAGCCACCTGAAATCAAGCTTTAGTCAGAATTAGGGATGCATTTTCTATACTCACAAATATAGACAAAGCTTTTCTATTTTTAAATATGTGCACTAGCAAAACTTCACAGTTCACGTTTCAACTGTGTCTCCCAATACAACAGTAAAAATCAATTGTTTTCTTTGCATTTAGAAAGAAAATATTTAAGTCAGACAGTACTTGCTCAGAGGGTCTCCTTCAGATGTCCCTGGCTGTTCAGCAGTTTCTATAGTCTCTTCCATAGGTGCAGCCTGTTCCATCCCACTAAAACAGGAAACAAAATAAAACCACCACAAAGTCTTCATGAGTCACATTGGAAAAAAAAATACCTTGCAGATCAATACATCACTTTTTTTTTCTAGAATTCCTTGGGAAGAAAAAAAAAAGTAGAAGAGTTCTTTGATCATAAGCAGAAAGATCTACTAAGTGACTGGTTGAGCAACTAACAAAATGAGGAGGATTAGGAAAATACAACTTCTATTTCTTTTTAAACAAAAAATGTGAAAAGCATGTATGAAGACAAAATAATTCAATCATGAATACTAAAACAAGTACTTGGTTACAGTATAACACTGGTGTTTGAGTTTGCCTTTTTGCTTCTTTTCAACAATTAAAGTTTGCAGTTTCTGTAGCATGGACATCAGTTCACTGTCAAATGAGAGCAGTAACTTACTTGCCTTCCACTGGTAAGTATACATAATTAAAATTAACACCTTTTAGCTTTGATGCATGATTAGTGCAATTAAGGCCCAGACATGCTTTTAGAATTGTTCAGATAGCTTGAATTTAATGTCACTTCTACCACATCACATGAAATCCTTCATATATCATAAGTTCTGATGCTACTGAACTAGAAAAAAAAACCCCAAACAACAAAACTTTACTAGGGAGAAAAAAATACAAGGGACCTTACACTTCTTCTAACTTCAGGACGTTCACACAGCCTTCCCTGACATCCTACAGAAGATAGTTCTCAACTGATAGCATAAAACTAGCTGACCAAAAGCACAAAACTATGTTAACCTAGCTGATACTTTGATAAGCCAGAGCACCTAACCGACCTACTTTTAGTATGAAATACTATAGAAGAGAGAGAAGTTAGTACAACCTTTCAGAACTTGGAATATCAAGTCCCAAAAATTATTACAAACCAAGGCTGCATTTTTCAAACCTTTAGCATGATTGCCTGAGTCCACAATCTAAGTTCTAAACTTAGATTTTAAGATAAAATTTGATTTTTAGAACAATTTTGTGAATGTGTACGTGGCCAAAGACATTTGCTGTAAGTTCAAAGCGCTGCCTTTTCTCTGCCCTTTATCAGGCTTCAATTAGTGTTCTAGATGTACATGAGAACAAAAGCTACTGGAAAGAGTAGCTTATTGCTAGGTGCAGAGAATGGACAAAAGCCAGCATTTTCAGTGAGATCTTACAAATCTGAACAGAAACCAGTGCCACTACAAGAAATACAGACCTGAACAGAAAATTCCCAAATTTTTTTTTTAATCTAACTGACCATTAGCTACTGATTTTCCTGTGCACTTTAAAATGCATTTCAGTGGTACAGTCAGCCAAGTATTAACTCCAGAGCCATACTGAATTGTATCACAGTTTTGCAATTTAGGAATGATCCATAAAACTCAAGAAAAAGAGACTGGACTTTAAGCCCCTGAACAGAGTTTGAAATTTTAATCAGCATTTTGGAGCAATGCCATTAAATACCACCTGACTATTGAGAAAAGTCACAACTTATTTCCTTTAAAGGACAAATTGGCTCCAGTCAAAAGATTTTGGCAGTCTTAAGTGAATATCATGCCTTTGCTACAATTTAATCTTACCATCAGGAAGCAGACAAGTTTAAAAAACTGTGGAACACCACAATAATGGAAAGCAACACTTATAAAGCTCAAAATGGACACGAAAATGATGAACAGAAAATGATCTAAGGTAGGCCATGGAAAATTCTGACCTATGGTGGACACCAGGACATGATGTACCTCATAACAACTTCAACTGCTCTGCAGTTGCAAGCTCAACCTCCACCCCTTTTGTTATCTGCTTTCATTCCTCTGGAGAGGAAAACAGAATTCTGTGACTTCAGGAGCTTTTTCCCACTAGGACCTCAAACTAAAACCAGTAGTGACTTTTTGCCTCCAGCTTGGATAGAGAAGGAGGGAACAGAACACTTAGGAGACACACTACTGTAGTGTACACCCAGCAGGAAACAGCACACAGAACACTTACCTTTTGTCATTCCCCCTCTGTCTTTCAAATTCACGTTTTCCTCTTTGGTCAAAGCCACCAAAACTTCTGTTTATTCTACCACCTCTTCCTCTACCTCGCATTTCACCTCGTCCTCCACCACGACCTCTTGTTGGTCTTTCACAGTCTAATCTTTCCACTGGCCTACAAAGATGACAACCAGTAAGATTTTTTTCCCTGCAGAACAGTGAACAAGGAGGAAAAAAAATCATATGCTTATATTTGTGCAGCTGTGGGACACATCAGTATATAACAGCTACTGCACGGTTTTTAGAGGGCATCTTTTTACAGCACACAGTGCAGTTGTTTCAGTTTTGTCATTAAAAATGGACATTGACTGAATACAGGAGGAATTATTACAACAAACGGGAACAGAAAGATCAGCTGTTTCTTGGTAACACTGAAAACATCACAGAAGTTAAAGAAAACATTATAAAACTGTCAAATCTTCAGTAACTTTATTAGGCAACAGCTCCACTGTCTAAACCCAGATTTAGCCACAATTACTAAAAATTTCAGCCAATTTTTCAAGTACCAACTTTTGTGATGTAAAGGAAGAACAGCCACACTCTGAAGCATTAAAGGTTTAGTTGGAATTTCCTACTACTTATGAAGAAAGCAAAATTGATATGCATTCACTGTCCAAGCAGTAAGTAATATGACAAAGGTCTGTATTCAGTTTGAACAGTAAAAGTCATTCAACTTGGAACCTTACCACATGCTTTGCGAAGCTTGGCATGTGAGCTCAGAAATAAACATTATTAATATGTTGCAGACTAAGTGTTACATTTTCAGGCCTTCACACTTTTCAGTTTCGTCTTAGATTTCTGACATTTAACAAAACCGCTCCAAATCAACAGGCAAGAAACCTGGAACTGCAGCTGTGACAGGCATGAGCCAAATCTTGCAACAAATCTACACACTAATAATGTGTAGATCATGCCTTCAAATCACGCCTGGCTACTAGAAGAAGTAGCTTTTTAAGAAGGTGATCACTTTTCCTTCCCACTCCTGTGCAGATCCTCCTCATGACACATACTTTTCCACTTGGAATTCCACTTGTCTTTGTGCTCCATCAGGACGGTATTCCCAGAAAGATGGTCTCCACGCAGCCTTGTCCTTTTTCACCTCTGCTCCTCTGTTGCTGAAGCCTTGCTGTTCTCCCCACCAAGGTGGTCGCTTCTGGCCTGCACAGACACACACACAGATCACCAACAGCTCATCAGTAACTGTAGTAGTTTAGTCTAGGCCTTCCTTGGTGACTAGTTTGTAACCAAGGAAGTGCCCATATTATCCGGTATTCTCTATGATTTTTACATAAGCCAAGAGAATAAGAAGAAAGGAGGAGAGGCCTTTGGTCTCTTTTTTCCTTCTGGTGGCTCTGAGGGTGCAGATTCCCTGCTGTTGAGTCTGTTGTTTTGGAGAGTGAGGCCTGGTGAGGTCTTGCCAACCTTGGGAGGTGGAGGTTGCCAGCGGTCATTCCAGCATGACTTTCTGTTGTCCCAAGGAGAGTACTAAGATATTCTTTTGCTAATTCTTTAGCTTGCTAGATCCTGAGTTTCTGATCGCGTGTATATCTATTTTGGGTTTTGTTTGGTTTTTTTTCCTTCCTCCTTCCCTTTCCCTTTTCCTTTTGAAATTGTACATATATTTCAATTGTATATAGATGTAATATAAGTGTAAATATATTTATATATATTGCTTTAGCTACCTCTCATTTCGGTTCTCTTGGGTTTTTTTTTCTTTGCCCTTGGTTTTGGTGTGGGAGCTCTTGCAGTGAGGTTTGGAGACTTGGCAGGGAGCCAGCTTCAAACCACCTCAGTAACTGCGTTGCACTTACCAAACCACTGACTGAAAGGAGCT